CCGTCAGGCACGCGTCTGTTTGCTGGCTCGCTCTTCCCAGCGATGCAGCGGCCTCGTGAGCACCGTGGGCAGGAAATTCAAATACCAAATGTCCAAAACCAAGTTGCTTGGGTAGCTTTCTGGAGCCAAGCGCTTTGGACGTAAAGGCTTGAGGTTGCAGCCCCATTTTGGCAAGGAGGGGGTTAAGGAGGGACGCTGTTATCGATGGGTTCACCATTGCGTTAACCCCAGGGCTTGCAGGGCATTGGGACTCGCGTGCCAAGGCAGGAGGGGCAACAGGAGCAGAGACAGGGCTGGTATGTGAGGAGAGAAGCCACAGGGGCTGGAGGGAAGAAACTTTGGATCCTGCTCCGTTGCGGCTCAGGGCAGGAAACCCTGCGGAAGGGTTTGGCCCCTTGGTTTGAGTCTTTCACTGCAAAGTGAAATATTTGAAGGGGAATATCTAACCCAGCTCTGGGGCTGGGTCATGTCTTCTTTGAAGGATGACAGGGAGCATTTCAGAGGATGCAACACAGCGGTCCTGGCAGTCCTGTCTTGTACTTGCAAGCGATGCTGCTGCGGCTCCAAACACAGACGGTAGCAGAGCAGCTGCCTTCAGAGATAATTGGAAATAAAAGGTCAGGACAAGAGTTGACTACATCAGAGACTTGGTACGTTGGTGCCTGCTCACCAAAGCCGCCTGGGAAAGGTAAAGGGAACTTTCCTGGGACCAAATTACCTTTGGATGTTGAGGCAGGATCTGGGAAATGTGGCTCCCCTATTCTCTGCAGAGCCCAGTCCCTAATGATGTGCCCTCTCCCTCCGGAGAGGTCCCACATCCTTACCTGGCTGCTAATCAGCCGAGATACGCTTCTGATCACGAATTACAGAGCATGAGAGAAGCAATGAGTCTTTCAAGCTGTAATTACCACAGAGGCTGCAGGTAATAGCCCTTGATGAGCCCCTTGGAGAGAGAAGAGTTCACTGACTTGCTCAAGGGAGGGAGGGTCCAACCCTGCCGGCCCAGGGAGATTTGTCTTGCCTGTAAGGAAGAAGCACAGATTTGTGTGTCGTACTTGAAGTGAACCCTTGCTGCAGCACTGCTTCCCACCCAGCCAGCGATGGAGGGGGAAGCACACCGATTCCCCCAGGTGTGGGAGATGCTTTGGTTACAGCTGCCACGTCTCGGGGCTCTGCTCGGAGGCACGGCCAGCAGCAAGAAATCCCTGCCCTGTGACATACAGACGTAAGAGGTGGGGATTCATATAAAACAAGGCAGCGCTGAGGTGCCTGTGTTGCACCTGACAGGGCTCTGCTCCATGGCCAGGAGCTTCACTGGGGAAATTTCCTTTAAAAAGTAAGAACTGGAGCTTCCCTGGAGTCTCCGGTCAGTCCCAGACACAACGTGCTTTTCTCCAAAACAAGGGAAGCTTTTATACTGCAGAGCAGAAAGACCTCCAGCCGTGCTAAATGTACCAAGAGGCTTTTTCTGCTCTTAAGTTATCAGTGATGCTTAAGCAAAAGTCTTGGCGTGTGGCAGGGGAGATGTGTTGCACCTATTCCTGCGTGTTTAGGAAGCCAGAGAAAAGTGAATTGCACTTGCACGCTTGCACCTGCAACACTTCTGTGTGTCCAGGTATGTGCATGGGGTTATGTGTGTGTAGGAAGGCAGCAGATCCCCAAGGGATGCCTCGCTTTTGCAGAGATGCAAACCAGCTTTGCTTCACGGCACAGGGTAGTCGGTGCTTGTGGTCCCGGCTACGAAACGGGCCATAACTCCATTAATGAAGTTGCGTTAAGAGTTTAATTAATCATTCCCCCCATGCACCTCCTGCAGATGTGGTGCCAGTTCACGAGCACTGTGGCTCAAATCCAATGCTGGCTGAGCCAAAAAGTGTGTAAGCTAAATAGCTGATCACGACTCCATCGTTTTCTGATCCCGACACCCTCATTCAGAACAAAATTTAAAGGGCTTAAAAGATTTGTGTGAAGCTGTGCTTGGAAGAGAGCTGATACCATCTGAGACCGCAATTATTTATTCTCCTTTATCATACAACGTGCAACATATGGGCCCCTTTCTCCACCGCGGATGACTAAATGATGGCATCTGGTACTCTATTATTGCAAGTGTAAAGCAAATGAGAAAAGATCCCCTTCAAACAGCACTTTGCTATTGTCACAAAGACGCTCTCGATATTCTCATTCCAAGGTGCTGCTTTCAAAACCATCCCATTCAGAGCCAGGCTTCTTTCTTGGAGGGTGCTGAGATTGCTGGGAACCGGGTTGGGTTTTCTTTCCCTTAATGCCTCAGCTGGTCCCCGCAGATGGGATCCCTCTGTCACCTGCTGCGTCTTCACACCCGTTGTGGATGTTGTCTGCTCTTCAGCTCAGACCCACCGAGCAGAGATCGGTGCACGTCGCTCCGAGCAGCTGAATAGCTCTTGCCGCTGTTGCTTTTCAGAGCAGCTCAAGCAGCAGCATGGATTGGGGCAGATTTAGGGAATGCCAGAGCTCATGTTCCTCAGCGAGCAGCCTGGGCACCCACGGGCGATGCCAGCTCCGG